GGGTAGACCTCGGCGCGTCGAGGTGATCGGCAGCTCGTCACACTCAACGGCCGCTTGGCCAGGGCATCGATAGACATCAGGCCGAGACCTGAGCTAACAGCGCCGGGGATCTGCTCCGTACCGGGGCCGAAGCCCAGGTCGATGCTAGTCCGATCTGCAGTCCCGAGACACAAGGGAGTAGCCTGGCAATGCAGGTTGCCCCTGGTGGACACAGGTAGACTTTGGAGCGCCGAGGTGATCGGCAGCTCAGTGGAACCCAGACCGGGGCGCCGAGAGGAACCTGCCGCTATACAGGTTTCCCGGGCAACCCCGACTGACCACGTGGCGCCGAGGTGTCCCCGAGCTGGTCGGCGCCTAGGCGACCGCCAGTCAGGGCACCAGGGCAAAACCTGCAGGGCGAAACCTGCATCGCCGGCGCCAGGCGCTCGTGACGAACCTGAGCCCGAAGCTAGGTCGCCACAAGGTGCCGAAGGCGCCGAGGTGTCCCCGAGCTGGTCTGCGCCTAGGCGACCGCCAGTCAGGGCACCAGGCGAAGACAGGGCAAAACCTGCATCGCCGGCGCCAGGCGCCCGTGACGAACCTGAGCCCGAAGCTAGGTCGCCACAAGGTGCCGAAGGCACACCATCACCTGAGCCGAAGCCAGGATCAAGCTGCCTGGGAGGAGGCGCGTTCTCCGAGCCAGAGCTCGGGCCGCAGCCAACCCCCCCAGATGCGTCCGATCCACCCCCGACGACAGGCGTGCTGAGCTCCTTGCGGAACCCAGACAGCACCGTGTCAATCGGGGCGGGAATTTCACCACAGACGACACCTGGTGAACTTACCTTCGAGATCAACACTTTGCGAGCCGAGCTCCTTACGGAGCCCGGACATCGCGCTATCAATCATCGAATTGACATTATGTTGAAGAATATGTTGCTGCAATAGTGAAGCAAATTGAGTCATATTTAAGTCAGCAACATTGTTTGCGGGGGAAACGATAAAGGGATTTCCTTAGAAACCTTTTATCAAATATTATCCCCCGCCTGAAGCAGATTAGTGAAAAACATAAAATCTGCGTGTCGGAAAGAATGCGCGTGAGGCGCAGAAACCCAGACAAAAAACACAACCTCGGCCTATGAGCCACGTTGTGTGTAAACGTATGAAATATGTACATAATACAACATAATGTAACAGTAATATTGACGCAAGGGCGTTTATTATGAGCATCCTTGATCGTCGTGAGCGTCCACGGCTAAACACCGGAGGCACACTTTATAACCATCCTGTGGCGGTAGTGTGCATGGCACAACGCACAGGGTGTAAACTGCAACAAACAGAACCACGCCAGTGTTACTAGCAGGAACTGTGAAGCAGCAAACACATAAACACAAGTAATAGCAAGAATAATCCGCACGGGCGATATATAAATGCTACAAGCTACAGCCATTTAAATACTAAACATACAATGCAAAGCAGAAAAAAGGCTAGCCACCCCTGCGTGTACTAGTGATAGAGTAAAGTTGAGTGATACGAAACGAACACTATCAAAATTACTCAACAACGACTTACCACAAATTCGCTGAAAAGAAAGAGAATTTAGGCAAGCCTACCATATAATATGCAAACATAATATATGAACTCCCTACTACAAGCTACCAAGAACATATAGCAAGGAAACCACGATCGCGCGGTCCGCCATTTTGCCTGCCACATGGCTGGAAAACAGAGAACCCACGGCAAAGTTACAACAAAAGATGAATGAAAATATCCACATATGACGTCCATCTAACGCCCGTGCGTAGAGAAAGGAACCATACATACAGATTGAGACTCTTTTACACTCATCGTATCGGTAGGAGAGCAAACTCGAAACGAACACCACGCACGTCTATTCAACAGAACGACAGCATGAAAAGTGAGGTACGAGGTAGACGGCGAGAGTTACCTGCTCTTGGCTGTGTTGGTCCGGTGGGGCCCTGTAGGGGTGGTCTCACAAGACAAAAACGAGTTTTTTGTTTTGTAAATATTTTATTAAAAATATAGTTACAACTGTCGTAGGATTTAAAATGGACATTTTAATGCTTATATGTACCCCAAGGAGGACTTCTTCTGAAAAAGAATTGTATATCTATCAGCTATATTGTGTACACATATTAAACTCCAACATGTAGATATATACAGATATAGCCTATGTATATGTATCAGCTATATTGTGTACACATATTAAACTCCAACATGTAGATATATACAGATATAGTATATGTATCAGCTATATTGTGTACACATATTAAACCCCAACATGTATATACAGATATCAGCTATATTGTGTACACATATTAAACTCCAACATGTAGATATATACAGATATAGCCTATGTATATGTATCAGCTATATTGTGTACACATATTAAACTCCAACATGTAGATATATACAGATATAGCCTATGTATATGTATCAGCTATATTGTGTACACATATTAAACTCCAACATGTAGATATATACAGATATAGCCTATGTATATCTATCAGCTATATTGTGTACACATATTAAACTCCAACATGTAGATATATACAGATATAGCCTATGTATATGTATCAGCTATATTGTGTACACATATTAAACTCCAACATGTAGATATATACAGATATAGCCTATGTATATGTATCAGCTATATTGTGTACACATATTAAACTCCAACATGTAGATATATACAGATATAGCCTATGTATATGTATCAGCTATATTGTGTACACATATTAAACTCCAACATGTAGATATATACAGATATAGCCTATGTATATGTATCAGCTATATTGTGTACACATATTAAACTCCAACATGTAGTATACAGAGATATATCAGCTATATTGTGTACACATATTAAGCAACATGTAGATATATATATAGCCTATCAGCTATATTGTGTACACATATTAAACTCCAACATGTAGATATATACAGATATAGCCTATGTATATGTATCAGCTATATTGTGTACACATATTAAACTCCAACATGTAGATATATACAGATATAGCCTATGTATATGTATGTATCAGCTATATTGTGTACACATATTAAACTCCAACATGTAGATATATACAGATATAGCCTATGTATATGTATCAGCTATATTGTGTACACATATTAAACTCCAACATGTAGATATATACAGATATAGCCTATGTATATGTATCAGCTATATTGTGTACACATATTAAACTCCAACATGTAGATATATACAGATATAGCCTATGTATATGTATCAGCTATATTGTGTACACATATTAAACTCCAACATGTAGATATATACAGATATAGCCTATGTATATGTATCAGCTATATTGTGTACACATATTAAACTCCAACATGTAGATATATACAGATATAGCCTATGTATATGTATCAGCTATATTGTGTACACATATTAAACTCCAACATGTAGATATATACAGATATAGCCTATGTATATGTATCAGCTATATTGTGTACACATATTAAACTCCAACATGTAGATATATACAGATATAGCCTATGTATATGTATCAGCTATATTGTGTACACATATTAAACTCCAACATGTAGATATATACAGATATAGCCTATGTATATGTATCAGCTATATTGTGTACACATATTAAACTCCAACATGTAGATATATACAGATATAGCCTATGTATATGTATCAGCTATATTGTGTACACATATTAAACTCCAACATGTAGATATATACAGATATAGCCTATGTATATGTATCAGCTATATTGTGTACACATATTAAACTCCAACATGTAGATATATACAGATATAGCCTATGTATATGTATCAGCTATATTGTGTACACATATTAAACTCCAACATGTAGATATATACAGATATAGCCTATGTATATGTATCAGCTATATTGTGTACACATATTAAACTCCAACATGTAGATATATACAGATATAGCCTATGTATATGTATCAGCTATATTGTGTACACATATTAAACTCCAACATGTAGATATATACAGATATAGCCTATGTATATGTATCAGCTATATTGTGTACACATATTAAACTCCAACATGTAGATATATACAGATATAGCCTATGTATATGTATCAGCTATATTGTGTACACATATTAAACTCAACATGTAGATATATACAGATATAGCCTATGTATATGTATCAGCTATATTGTGTACACATATTAAACTCCAACATGTAGATATATACAGATATAGCCTATGTATATGTATCAGCTATATTGTGTACACATATTAAACTCCAACATGTAGATATATACAGATATAGCCTATGTATATGTATCAGCTATATTGTGTACACATATTAAACTCCAACATGTAGATATATACAGATATAGCCTATGTATATGTATCAGCTATATTGTGTACACATATTAAACTCCAACATGTATATATACAGATATAGCCTATGATATCAGCTATATTGTGTACACATATTAAACTCCAACATGTAGATATATACAGATATATATGTATATGTATCACTATATATACACATATTAAACTCCAACATGTAGATATATACAGATATAGCCTATGTATATGTATCAGCTATATTGTGTACACATATTAAACTCCAACATGTAGATATATACAGATATAGCCTATGTATATGTATCAGCTATATTGTGTACACATATTAAACCCCAACATGTAGATATATACAGATATAGCCTATGTATATGTATCAGCTATATTGTGTACACATATTAAACTCCAACATGTAGATATATACAGATATAGCCTATGTATATGTATCAGCTATATTGTGTACACATATTAAACTCCAACATGTAGATATATACAGATAATAGACTATGTATATCTATCAGCTATATTGTGTACACATATTAAACTCAACATGTAGATATATACAGATATAGCGTATGTATATGTATCAGCTATATTGTGTACACATATTAAACTCAACATGTAGATATATACAGATATAGCCTATGTATATCTATCAGCTATTGAACTGTACTCACTTTTCTGTTGAGGTTTGTTTCTGGATCATCAAACTCTGCTGAACCTGTCGCACCTGAAGACAGACCAAGACAGATCAGGACAGACCAAAACAGACCAGGACAGATCAGTACCTCACATCACTTAACTCCATGCCAACTTCACTATGTAACACGACATGCATGTTGGGGGCGCAACTCGGGCATATATATATACTTTGATACATGTCCAACAAGGCTGATGCTGCAGTAAATATTTCCTTTCCATACATCTGTTGCATGTCCTGGGGGTGAAATGGTATACCACAGTATTAGTAGAACTGCGGTATTTTGCCTTTGATTCGGTATACTGTTATGCAATCCAAAAATTCGGCATTTTCGGTTTTCGAATGGACATTTTATTAACCTTTTTAAACCTTTTCTAAAATGTCTAGAAATCAAATCATTTTGTCAAATATATCTAGGTTGGGCTCTTGTCAATTTTCTGTATTATGATCATGTCTCATATATCGAACCGAAATGGACGGAACCGAAGGCTTTGTACCGCAATATGTACCAGACCGTGGTAAGAGCATACCGTTTCACCCTGAACATGTCCTGATTGTTACAAGACATTTAGCAACTTCACAACATATAAATATCAAGATTCCAAACTTAGCCCAGACCAATTCTATTTCTTTTTTTACAGATTTTTGTCCTCAGAAAACCTAAAGGCAGGAGGGGGAGAAAAATAAAGAAAATCACCTGTCAAAGCAAAAACCCACATGAGTTTCCATGTTAACTCTTTTGGTCTGTTTATATCAACTAAAAATAAGTTGTGTTAGTTCAGGCTTCACATTGATTTCAAGAGTACTTCACTTATAAATATCACATTAACGTTTTTTTAAGGATTATATTTCTTGAGCAGGGAAAATAAATTTTTAGTTATTTTTCTTATTCTTGATAAAATACGACTGGTGGATCTGTAAAACAAGAAATAAACTTGGTCTGGCCTCAACATCAATCACCTTTAAGTCCAATACAGAGCTTTCAAGGGAACCAAGAATTCTCACACATGGGTGGGAAACATTCTTCATGGAAACTGCACATGCCTTGTCTCCACCGAATCATTTCCATGAACCCCTTGTTTACTAACTTTGTATGTAACTGTGTAACTATTATATATAGCCACCAAACATGTCCATATTCACACTAACAAGCTAATGCTGAAATAATTAAGTCTTTGTTTCAGAAAAACCAAAACCATCAGCATGTCTGTGTATCCACCTGTAATCATTTAATGGTCAGGATGAGACCCACAATATAGGCAGTGTAGGAAAGATAGCCCGTCCCAACGTCCGAGACGGGTGAATTTTGTGGAGGACGGGTTAAAAAAATATCTAGTCCGTCCTCATGTCGGGTCAATTTTAGCAAACCAATGACATATATATAATGATTATAACCTTTTTGAATATTTACTGCCGAAGGTGTTTTATATATATTTGGAGGACAGGCTAGATTTTGGCAGGACCGGTCAAACATTTGACCTGCCAGTCCTGTGGACAGGCTAGATTTTCTACATCTTTCCTACACTGATATAGGACAAGTTTTTTTATGGATAACAACTTCTTTACGACGTTCGATACAGATTCTTGTACCGACGTCAAGCAGGAGTGTGCTTGACAACGGTACAAGAATCTGTATCGAAACGTCGCACTCACGAAATAAAGAAGTTGTTATCCATAAAAACTCTTCCTATATTGTACGTCTCAAATTGTAAAATGCCACTCAAACAAGGATGAGACCCCCCTGTACTGACCCTCATACCTATGTTCATGTAGATGTTCCTAACTGCCCCAGACCTGCATCCCTTCAGGCTTTCCTCCTATATTATGCTAACATGCCATAACAGAACTGAATACTGTTAAAAGCAGCATTTATCATAACTTACCCACTAATTCCTTGTACCATCTCACACTGCCCCATACAGTGAGTGAGTATGGTTTTACGCCACTTTTAGCAATATTCCAGAAATATCATGGTGGGGTACACCTGGCTTCATACATTGTACCCATGTTGGGAATTGAACCTAGGCCTTCGGCATGACGAGCAAACGCTTAAACCACTAGGCTACCGCGCCACCCCATACAGATATGAGGGTCCTACCTTGTGTTCATGTTCTCTCTTTGACTTAAACTGTTCTACGATTTTCCTCGACTGCCGATCACACTCCTTCTGTAGGATCTTCAGCAGGATCAGCAGCTTCCCGGGACCTTTAAACAACATCAAGATAACCGACACATGTCTTAAGTCTCCTCACAACATGTGGTGAGTGAGTGAGTGAGTTTAGTTTTACGCCGCATTCAGCAATATTCCAGCTATATGGCGACGGTCTGTAAATAATCGAGTCTGGATCGGCAATCCAGTGATCAACAGCATGAGCATCGATCTGCGCAATTGGGAACCGATGACATGTGTCAACCAAGTCAGCGAGCCTGACCACCCGATCCCATTAGTCGCCTTTTACGACAAGCATAGACGCTTTTTATGACAAGAATGGGTTGCTGAAGACCTATTCTACCCCGGATCTCCACGGGTCCACAACATGTGGAACACAGGAAGCTGTTAAAGCATTATCACTTATCATCTAATGTATAAGGGAACGTTTGATTTCGGGGAGTCTAAATGATCCATGCCATGGTGTCTTATGTTAAAGTGATGATGTTTGTGATGTCCTGAAATGTCAGCAACACCAGGTGTTGTGGCCTATAAAAGAAGTGTCTTAAACATAAAACAGCCGTCTTTTATGAGTGAGTGAGTTTAGTTTTACACCACACTCAGCAATATTCCAGCTACATGGCGGCGGTCTGTAAATAATCGCATCTGGACCAGACAATCCAGGGATCAACAGCATGAACATTGATCTACGCAGTTGGGATGCGATGACATGTGTCAACCAAGTCAGCGAGCCTGACCATCTGATCCCGTTAGTCGCCTCTTACGACAAGCATGGGTTGCTGAAGATCAATTCTAACCCGGATCTTCACAGGTGCGTCTTTCATGAAATGCCATATATGTGCATCATACTCACCATAATATGTTTCTACCAATGGCTGGTGTATCTCCACTACTCTAGCGATACTCTCAAACAGTAGTGTGATGGTGTCTGCAAACAACACCTTGGCCCTCTTGTCATCACTGTCCATATGAAGGGCAAGCTTCATCTGGTTGTCAGCGTTCTCAGACAGCTGGGAATACACAATGATGTCACACAGTGTTCACATGTTTCAAAGTAACAGGACATTGGGTCCTGTAAGCTTCAGATGTCTGTCTGACCCAGATTTAACATTTTTTATAATTGGCATTGAAATTATTAAGAAACATAAGATTTATAAACAGCAAACAAGTGTCAAATGTCACACATAACAACTTCAGTCAAAGTCATTGTGAAATGCACAGTCAGACACTGGGGCTGGTGGGTTGTAGACTTCTATCAGACCTTTGGCGAATCTGCCGGATTTGTCAGAGGGTCAGACGCTATTCGTGAACACTGGTCACATCATACTTAAGCTCTGAATGTAAGCGTGAAAAAAACTATACAATAAAAATTACCCTCATTATGAACTCAAAAGCACCACTAATTTAAGTTTGTAATAACAGCAGTTTGTGATACACATTTTGATTAATATATACAGCAAGTGTCCGGGACTAAAAAACAGTTTGTAGAGTCTGTTTGTTGTAAGTGTTTTGGTTACAATATTTCCTGAACAAGACTAAGGAATCACCTGTGAGTAGTAGTGTTGGGAATTGGTTGAAATCTCACAATTAATTATTGGTTCAATACCAACGACCAATCATCGAAAAAAATTGGTTCGCGTCATTTTTTAGATTTTCCTATTCAGGTTGTAGTTGCAGATAAGTTTTAAGAAAAAACATTTGGTTCTCTGTTGTTGTTTTTGAAACTGCACAAATTACATTTGCAAATTTCACATCCAGTGTAAAATGATTCAGTTCCAGTGTAACATAAACTTCCCAGATTCTTCAAGAAATATTCAGTCATGACTTTTCAGAAAGTGAAGTGAGTTTTCTTAGAAATAAACACGTTTTCAGGCCCTGACAACGTCCTAGATATGTTCTATCATCAAGTAATCAAACTCTATTACAGGTTCCAAAATCGTTTGTGTTTGATTATGAGAAAATGTGATCGATTGCTTGGTCGTTTGGCCACTGCGACCAATCTTCGATTATTTCAATTAATCGGAACACCACTAGTGAGTAGGTGAGCAGGGTATTACAACGTTTTTTGAATTATTCCAGCAATATCACAGCGGGGGACACCAGAAATGGGCTTCACACATTACACCCATATGGGGAATCAAACCCGGGTCTTCTGCGTAATGAGCCAATCCTGAACCACTAGGCTACCCCACCGCCCCTAAGGAATCACCAGCAATTAGCATGCGGGACACAATTATGAGATTATTTTCATTAATAAACCATTTCTACATGATTCATACCAACAGACAGGCATAGACATAGGGTAGACAAACCCAGTGAAAAACATTCAAGAATAATAAGTAACTTTGACAATGAATGACAAAAACGCTTCCAGCTAATAACGTCACGTAACACACATGCTTAATTATTTAGGAACCCTAAACTGAACACTTTCAACAATATTCCAGTATTAACACAGCAGGGGACACCAGAAATGGGCTTCACACATTGTACCCATTTGGGTAATCGTCTTCGGCACAGCAAACGCTTTAACCACTAGGCTACCCCATCGCCCACTTTCACAGGAAATGTACTGTTGAAGAATTTCACTTCAATCAGATCTGACAGAAAAATATCTCATAGGATTAAAGATAAGAAAAAATTCATGAACTACCTTTTTAGCCAAATATTTGCTAAATTTAGTGAGTCCTTCTTCGTGTTGCCCCAACAACGGGAATATCTTGAAGAACCTCTCTACGGATGCCACATCCTCGGAGTGGACAGCGGCATCAAACTTGGGAGGTGACGATGGCCTTGAGTTTATCCTCGGCCTCGTGAAGCAGCTTGAAGGAGATGTCCAGTGTGCCACCTGTCACAGATGTTCACATATTTAGTTACTCGATCAGTACCTTATTAAGTATGATAACAATTATCCTCAACATAGGTGGATCCAGAGGCTCTGTGTGTGTGTGCAGGGGTGCGCACGCACGCATGCACGCACGCACACACACACACATCTCTTCTCTCTCTTACATTGTACATGTGCGGGGAATCAAACCCGGGTGTGACGAACAATGCTTTACCCACTAGGCTACCCCAGCGCCCCTACTCTAGAAAGATGTATTCTAGCAAGTATAAGGAACTATAAAGACGAGTTGACATTCATATAAACAACTTAGTGATTACATTACTTGATACTCCTGTTTTTTTTTGTGGGCTAGTGAGAGCTAATATCATACAGTATCTTTTACCACTTGAAGTTCACAAGCAATAAAAGATATGTTTGAGAGAAACTGTTTCATGGAGAGTGGGTGATATCACATCAACATAATGTTATAATGGCAGTACAATAAGTACATTTTGGCCAGCTGATTAATATCAGTGTATGAAATAAGCCAAATATCCAGCCAGACATCAGATGTATGGAACATCTAAAATTTTTACCAGACCATCGGGCTGGCTAGCTGTAAATTTAGACCGTCCGTCAGAAATCTAGACCGTTTAGGGAGGTCGGGCGCATGGGCGGATCCAGGAATTTTGAAAAGGGGGGGGGGTTGTTGGGTTGGGTTGCCAAAGCCAAAAAAATCTTCAATGTGGTCTTAAGTCATTTTCAGAGGGGAGGTGGGGGTGGTGTGGTGTGAGTGTGTTTACAAAAGTTTTAGTGAGTGAGTGAGTTGAGCTTTACGACGCACTCAGCAATATTCCAGCTACATGGCGGAACACCAGACAATCCAGGGATCAACAGCATGAGCATCGATCTACGCAATTGGGATATCAAAAGTTTTAGAAGAATAAGAATGGCCAGATCTCCACATGGTCTTTAAGAAAATATGCGATGAACATTGATGACCCACCTTCATCATTATCAGCACTCATTCTCAGAACTGACTCGTCCAGATTCCGGTAGCGATGGATATGGCCGGCCGCCTGGAACACAAGAGGAGGAATACAGTGACAAGGTTACAACTACAGAGTGAGTAACTCAGTGAGTGAGTATGGTTTTACTCCGCTTTTAGCAATATTCCAGCAGTATCATGGTGGGGGACACCAGAAAGGGGATTCACACATTGTACCCATGTGAGGAATCGAACCCGGGCCTTCGGCATGACGAGCAAGCACTTTAACCACTAGACTACCCCACTGCCCCACAACTACAGAAACACTAACAATGTAATATTCAAGCAACATCATAGCATGGGGCAGTACAGTGGATTCTTACCTTTTCATAATCCTCATTCTGAAGAGCTGTTTGTACTCCATCTGTACAGAACTTGAGATCCAGTATATCCTCTACTCGCTCTATACAGTCAGAAACCTCGACTCTGGAAAATCAAAACACTCAAATCAACCAAAAGCAGACCCTTGTCAAAACTTTAATGTCCCTCTATTCTGAAATTTTCATTCCTTGATGTAGTAAGAGCATGGAAACACATTAACCCAAAGATCATTTTATGACATGATGACATATTGTAACCATGGTTACCGAGCAGGGTTACACAATATGAACACTTTAATCATTACACAGTTCAATAAATAAACCACTCCTCATTCACAGCTAGCACTCTAATGTCTGATTTCTCTAGGAGTCTACAAACCCACTGAATTCAAACATCAAACACATAATAACACTTCCCTACAAATATGCATTACAATAATTACATCTTTTCTATCTTATATAATTGACAAGCACACAGTATAGCAATCGATACACACTTTCTCTGTAAAAATTGCAGAAGTCTTCTTTGTACTGCCCCAGTGAGGTGAGGTGAGGTGAAATTGGGTTTAACGTCGTGCTTGAGAATATTTCGCTCATATGACGACGTGCATGCATGTGTATGTGTATGTGCGGCTGCTTGTACTAGTCCAGACTTAAGCTGGTTTTATAGTGCTAGCTCACTGAGATACCATGCCGCAGTGAAGCATGAATACCCCACTCAGACACAGTATACTGACTCCGAGCCGACCAGTCCTTGTTGTACCCAATAATGCTGAGCGCCAGGCAGGGACCAACAAGTACCATATTTTAACGTCTTTTGGTATGACGTGGTCGGGGATCGAACCCGCGACCTTCCGCTCTCTGGGCGGATGCTCTCTAACCACTACACCACGGAGGCGGTTACTGACCCAGTGATTACCTTAGCAAGGTCGAGTTTCCTGACTTTACTGCTGACATTGTCGGCCAGTGTTGAAGTGAAGGAGATCATGCTACTCAGCTGACAGGAGTCTGTCTCCAAGATCTGCAGGTTCGGGCTACAGCAGAACAAAACACAGATGTTCACAACAGCATGGAGGTTATTGCCAGAAACGTAATTCAAATGATTCTATAACTCAGATAAGCAACACATGCTTGTCCTAAGTTAGAGAAGACTAATGGGATCTGGAGGTCATGTTTGCTGAATTGATTGACACATGTCACATTGATTGACACATCATATCCCAATTGTGTAGATCAAAGTTCATGATGTCAATCACTGGATTCTCTGGTCCAAACTTGATTATTTACACACTACAGTCCATAGGGCTGGAACGATTCACCGATGCATCGCAATACAGTTAAGTTTGATACAGCTATCGTATCGTGGACTGGTGTATTGATACAAAACGATACACAACTTTTTTTCAAAACAGTATTATCTTAAACATGTTACAGTACTTATTTAGAGAAAAATACACAAGTATAATGGAGTTACTTGTTTCTTGTACTAGCCCAGAACCCGGCGATTGTGTTATTGTTAAACCCAAATACCTTGAAATAAATCATTTTAAATCATTGATACTGTGCCATTCTTTCAAGGTGTATGTATCGTGATACGTATCATATTGCAGGTAAAATATCGCGATATGTATTATATTGTGACATAGTGTATCGTCCCAGCCCTAACAGTCATATAGCCGAAATATTGCTGAGTGTAGTGTTAAAGGTCACATGCAACCGAAAAAACAAACATAACGGAAAACACAATTATCACTTATTCATGACACATTATATACATTGCTGATTATGAAAAAACATATAAATAAAATTATAAGCGTACAATCGCAAATCAAAAGTGCAATATTTTGTACTTGGGTTTACTTCCCTAGAAACAAAGCAGCCGGGATACCGAACCCAGTCAGAGCGGGTGGGTGAGCACTCAAGTGTAACGGCTGGTTCATTTGCAGATGCCCTCATGGCTCATTGTGTGTGTATATATAGAGATGTTGGGTTTTGTAAATACATGCTCATTTTTTGTGTATAACATTTTGCAATCAACAGACATCATAACATGTCATGTATACAAGTATCACACCTGCCTGTCTGTGCAATTACATAATGTGACAGAGACCGAACTCGGGCCATAAATCAATGCGTTTTGTTTATGGTGTATAACATGATAGGTGTTAAGTTCAAATTGCATGTGGTCAGTGATCGAAGTTGTGTATTGAATATTGTCATTAGCAGACAGGCAGACACATATGTGTCAATAAAACAGACATTGAGTTTTGTCTGTGACAATGACATATCAATATCACAGTTAGAAATTCTGTCAACGCTAAATAATGACATTGCTTTTAAGTATCGAACTCAGAAAGTGACTTGGTAAGAAGAACGTGTGGTGAAATAGATAAATGAAATCATATAAACGGTTAAATCGGTAATCTACTGTCATAACATATAAAAAGCTCTCGCCTGTGAAATATCAACAAAACATTAGAAAAATAGCTCACACCAAAGCCTTGACCGAGTATTCACCGGACAACCCGCTTCCAAGCTGCGTGAACCTATTTCACTGTGCATGTGCTATGAGCGCAGCCCAGCTGTTGAAACCACTTTTCCCCCAATGTGCTGGGGAAAATTAGTGAATAGTTTGAACTCTGATTTCGTGAGGGTTTTTTCATCGCATTATTTTTCAAATTTATAAGTTGAATTTGCATTTTTGATGATTTGTTTCGGTAAGTCCATACCGAAAGGTATCAGAATCTGCAAAGTTGTGTTTTACGTTGCATGTGACCTTTAAACAAACACAACAGATCAAAAGTACTCTATCCCTCAATGATATACTGGGATAGAACTAAAAATTGTTTTCAATAACATATGATTTGGTTTACTCACAGGGCTTTGTGCAAGCCAACCATCTTGCTCTCCAGTCGAGATTGATGATCAAGCAGCCCCTTAAGCTCATCTTCAATCGTCAGCTGAAAAATGAAAATGACTTTCTTACTGTACAGCTGTGCAGCATTTGTGGAAGTGTTCGATTTATTCATGCTAACTTTTCATTATGTTATGATGAAATGTTTCAGTACATATTATTATTACAATTTCCATTGTCAAGCACTCTTATTCCAAAACATTGCATCACGACATAAAAAAGATGTTGTCATCCATAAAGCACTGTGCCATTATTGTTCAACTCAATCTCTTGGATCTCCTTTTCCATCAAATGTCCCTTTATGATCACTAGGGTTTAACAGCCTTTGTTGATCAAACAGCTCTCTATAATTAGTATAATCCTTAGGGCAAGGCACCCTTTAACGATCCATAGGGTCAGTTGTGAGAAATGGTATAGATCAGCTTTCTCTCTGAAGGATGTAATTTGAGGAAACTGTATATGTTTATCAGGTTTGCAGAGAAAGGGCTACTTTGCATGCACAGAAAGGTACACAATTGGGTGCTGATGACTTGGTAAAGAGCACTAAATATTTATCCAAACATTGTTACAAATGTCACAAAACATTTTCAGCAACAGAAAATGCATAGACAGCATACCCCAAGGAAGACAGCTTCTGAAAAAGAATTTGATAGCGCCTGTGGCCCCGTGGTACAGTGGTGTGTTATGAGATGAAGTCATCAGCCTAACTTAGCTTTATATTTGCAAAGTTGCTTTGATCCCCCATGCGACACAAATTGAAATCTTACAAAGAATATCTGACAAAGTGCGCTTGTCCCTACTAATTTTTATCCTGTGTATGGAAGTAAATTTGTTGGCAAACATGGCAAATATTTAACATCCCTGAATTTAGAAAGGATTTCCTTGTGATAGGTTTATAATGTCATATCAATATCGTTGCTGTCTTTTTAATGGCACATTACCTTCTCAATAATGTCTCAAAAATCATTTTCATGATATGTCACTTAACTTGTGCATATATGTCACTTAAGGTTGTTTGGATCATTGCTCCATCATGTCTATAAGTACAGCCAGATCATGAGGAAGTGTGGCATCACACAGACATTGCACATTCTTGAATGATGGCAAGTGTTTAGGATAAAGTTATATTTTATAAGTAAGTGACATATTTTGCAATTGTACATATGATAATCGAAACAATGTATGTCCGAAAACAGGTAACACATGGATAAAGAATCTTTGACAATTACCACAAAGTAATCAGACATCAATAAGTATCAGCAAAAACTGACTATATTAGGGAGTACTGCACTTTTGCAGATTAATTAAGCTGCTGGGGCTTGAACGCGCTTTGCCAGATTACTGACTTTGTTAATTTATAGTGACGTAATTGGCGGACGCTCTACCTCGAGCACCATCACAGTTAATGAGTGCTTGTTTAACGCACGCGCAATTGTTTGTTTACATTTCTAGCGCTTCCGCCTCACTGTGCCACGCCCTTCCCATTCATTTTTTTTAACGCCATTATTTCTTGGACTGTACTGACGAGTACCGGATGGATCGAAATGTGTTTCATATGGATATAATAGGATTATACTGCCCTAAGGTAAAGTCAAACCTTAAATAAGAATCGGAAAGGGTCCCTACCCCTCTCCCAACCCTAAGGATCAGAAAGGGTGCCATACCCTAACCCTAAGGATCGTCAAGGTTCCCTAACCCTCACACCAACCCCATACCCTATAAAGATCGTAAAGGGTGCCTAAACCTAAACCCTAAGGATCGTAAAGGGTGCCATACCCTAACCCTAAGGATCGTAAAGGGTTGTTTGACTCTAAAGATGCAAGTGAAGGGAGACGGAGCAATTACCGCGATATAACAGCGCTTGAGAGAGTGTGGTTGAGCTATAGCACGATAATTGCCCCGCAGCGAGCAGCGAGGGCTGCGCCCGGTAAAGTGCATTCTAGCCCTTTATTCATTCAAAAATGTTTCTCTTCCATTTTATGATCCCTCGCTACTGCTTTTACAATAATATCAAGCCTTTATAATCAAAACAATGATTTCTGTCGAATTGTTTGTCTTGTTAAATAATGACCCATGCAATTCTTTGATAGTATTATTGCAGGATCTGTTGTCTGCCTCTGTCATCTGTTTCTTATTAAACGGCTGACACTGGCTGTTTTAAAAATATAATTGTCAAAAGACACGGGCCTGTATTACGAAGACAGTTGAAGTTGAACTTCTTGGCCGGCGAAGCGACAGACGCATTTATGTGACTTGACAATATGTAGGCAGAATAAATGAGTGCAACAACATCCTGGGTACATATATTACCTCATCCTTGCATAATTCATCGAATGCCTTTTGAATAGCTTCTAAATCTGTCAAATTTTCAACTGTATCCAACGACGTCGAGGACGTGGCATCGCCCATGGACGTCGCCATTTTGGTTGTATGAGTACTATTTCCTTTACAACTAAATCTGATTAACCCAAGGCGTAAATCGTTCACACGTTATTTTTCATACAAAATGGTGATTTACACGCGTAAATTCGCGCTTATAATCTTACAATAAACATATTCTGTTTTAATTATGTAAATCACATCAACGTCATATTCACAAAGTATATTAGAACTTTATATGTGCCTATTAAAGCCTGTATTTACAGACTTTTTAATTGAATGTTATAAACAGGTCATTAAACAAGTAAATATTTCAGATATTTCTTCGACCGTAATATTGGTACATCTATAATAACGTTTCTTTTGAGCAGTGAGGATATTTCCTGTATTGCTTGATTGTGCTGATATTGCTCAAGAAAGTAGTTTCACTGAAATACGGTTGAATTGTGGGTAACGGAAGTTATGCGACGATTCAAATACATACGGCGTGAAATGTTGAAATTCTGAAAACAATCCATTGTCATCGATGCACAAATGCAATAATGAACAGATCAAATATCGTTTCGTGACATTATGGATTCAGCTGCGGTTAAACTGTAACGGTTTTGTCGAAAGTTTGTCAACCTCATAAGAAGAACAACCGGCTCAAACATCAACAAAGAATTAGGTTATTATCCGAACTTATTTCTCAACCGGGTTCAGTGCACCTATATTCATTTTTTCTGTGTGTGCAGAATGTGACAGCGATTGCAACTATGTGCATTTGTACCCTTTCCGTATCACCAATATTTAAATAACACTCTAAAAGTCAATATTGTTGTATTCGAACATGCACTTAGACTGGTACGTTCAGTGCATCATAAGAAAGCCTAAATTGTCTATTCTTACCAAATGTTTAAGTGGAATGTTTGTTATTGCACACAATTCACAAATGAATGAGCACTAAAAAATGGAAGTCATTGATTGATTGTTATAACAACTGAAAAAAGTTATTTCCTTATTAATATTTAATTTCCTGCAGATACAAGGTATGCTTGGTAATTTTTTCGTGCTGAGTGAACATTGAAGTATGATACCTTAACCCTGAAGATGCGCACAAAACAGCATCTTCCCTTAGTACCCAAACCATTCATATACTTTCAAACTCCTCTTTCAATTGAAGTTTAGTTGTGGCCAAACATTAGAATTAAAAGTAATCTTACAACTACATGCATTACAGATTTTATTTTTTTTTGTCCTATTTTCTTGTTGCTTCTGTTCATTTGTTATATTACAATGCATTTTGCATTATTCCTGTTCTTTCAGGAAATTGTTTCTAATTTTTGCTGCAAATATGCTGCTCTAATTATCTTTAATGAAAGTCATACTTGAACATTGTCTTACCCACGTACATTCGAGTTGGATTTGGTCTTCAGAAACCCATGCTTGTGGTAAATTACGTAAAATTTAACTGCGTGTAAGTAAGTTTCACTGTATTTCCATGTTTTCAGCTCTACAGCATGTTTCTGTACAACCTGACCCTACAGAGATCCTCTGGGATCAGTTTTGCTATACACGGCAACTTCTCCGGCTCAAGGCTGCAGGAAGTTATAGCAGCTCGTGGGAAGACACTAGAACTTCTCCGCCATGACCCCAACACAGGGAAGATCTACCCAGTGCTGTCTGTGGAAGTTTTTGGTGTCATCAGAGCTATCATGCCATTCAGGCTCACAGGAGGCTCTAAAGGTAGGTCATAACTTGAACCCTTGTGGTTGGTCTGGGTTACAATTTGTCCCAAGATCTGGAGTAGAATTTGGTCTTAAGCAACCCATGCTTGTTTGAAGAGGCGACTAACGGGATCAGTGTTGGAGGACTCACTGTCATCATGTCCCAGTAAATCAATGCTCATGCTGTTAATCACTGAATTGTTTAGTCCAGACTCGATTGTTTACAGACTGCTGCCATATAGCTGGAATATTTCTGAGTGCGACTTTGAACACACAAGCAAAACAAACAATGCCAAGCATGTCAGTCGAAAGTAATTAATTTTGGGAAGTTTGTATTCAGTCATGAAAAATATCCCTTTTTTCTGTGTTCAAGGTGAAAACTAATTTTAAGCATCTTATTCCTTTCAGATTACATAGTTGTTGGGTCAGATTCAGGCAGAATTGTAATTTTGGAATATATTCCATCAAAGAATATATTTGAAAGGGTGAGTTGATCTGTGTTTTATTGTAAGCTTTTTGTTGGGCTTTTCTGTCAGATTTTACAATATCTTCTATGAATAAATTCAAATGTTACAATTGAATGTATACGTAAATTTATAAGCACTTTTAATAAAGACCATTCAGAAAGTGTTACAGGAAATGTCTTAGTACTGTGGAAATCTCCACAAGAAATGCACAGATTATTTCATGGAATTTTTCAATCTTGTAGATTCACCAGGAGACATTTGGGAAAAGTGGATGTCGTCGGATTGTGCCAGGGCAATACCTGGCTGTTGATCCTAAAGGAAGGGCTGTTATGATAGGTGAGTAATACCAAGTATTGAACTGTATTTTGTAAGGCTGTTAAGATTCACTCGCATATTCGGTGAATCGAACCGTAACCCTTAATGAATTCAATTCATTATTCGTGGTCACCAGAACCGAATATTCATGAATATTTGCAATTTTTTAAAGGGAGTGTGTTTTACTTGAACCCTTATGTCCTTTTTCAAAATGAGATATGCAAGAATGCATTATGTACTAGCCTTGTAGAGCAAGTCATGTTAGTTTGCCAAGGCCACACATGGTACTGTCAACTATAACTATTACATACCAAAATTGAGTGTCATGAGATGACTGGTTATTGCTGTGACAAATTAACACTGTCAACATCGGCAATCAATATTGTGCATCAATCACTTAACTACAATATTGTATTCGTGAATAATTATTCGTATTCGTTACCCAATATTCATGATACGTATCATATTCACAACAGAGTGTATTCATTACAGCCCTAGTATTTTGCCAATATTCGGCAATATAAGTCCACCATAAGTTTGTGGCAGATTTAAGCTTACTTGTTTAAATGGTTTTGATAAACATCCTTGTCTCTATTGTCTGAGTATATATAAGTAAGGTTGTTGGATATCCTTCGTGTTCCAGGTGCTATAGAGAAGCAGAAACTTGTGTACATTCTCAACAGAGATGCCCAGGCTAGATTGACAATCTCTTCTCCATTAGAAGCTCACAAGTCCAACACACTCGTCTACCACATGGTCGGAGTGGATGTCGGCTTTGAAAATCCAACGTTTGCCTGTCTTGAAATTGATTATGAGGTACATTGTCAGGTCCTGACCTTTCCTTTTGATTTTCTGGAAATATGATGTTCCTCAAAAGGAAAACAGGGCCTTGAATTAGATTCTACCAGAAAATAGTTATCACCTATCTTGCTATCACAAAACATTTTTAAACATATTTTCAAACATAAAAGGAAAACTCAAACCCTGTGGAATGTTATCTTGTAAAAGAAGCAGTTTGTATCTGATTTATTTCAGTCGGTAACAGTAGTTACCTGTCAAACCATTCTGTGTCAGGTATGCCTGAATCTGTAACAAATAAAGGAAGGGCCACAAGTGTATGATTAATTTTGTTTGAAATTTAAGGGACCCTGAAATGTTTTGTTAAAGCTTTGAAGTTAGTGTCTGAAATTCTGTACATACCTGACACATGATCTTGTGTGTATTTCCCTTTCCTCTGTGGCGATGTTGCTGATGATGTAGTGATGGTTGTAGGAGTCTGACACTGACCACACTAGGGGAGGCGGCTCAGAGGACCCAGCAGTTACTCACCTACTACGAGTTGGACCTTGGTCTCAACCATGTGGTCCGCAAATACTCAGAGCAGCTGGAAGAGCATGCTAACTTCCTCATCTCAGGTACAGTTTCTCAATATGGCGATTGTTTGCAGGTTAATGTCTTGTGAAAAGTTGAGGCTTCTTACTCAAACTTTTTCTTTATGTTGAGTTCATGGTTTTACAACGGAACTAAATGATAGACGACAATTAATTTTGCTTCTGAATGTATTTTTAATTTGCTGTCCATTTTGTCTGTAAACCTCAAGTTGATTATCTATTGTGTTATATTTCAAATTCTTGTCATGCTTTCTTTGTGTGGCAAGCTCAGATTTCATTTCAAGTGGAGTTTAAACACTTTGTCAAGTCAATTAAGAACCGTGGTGTAGTGGTTAGATGGGCCCGCCCGAGAGTGAAGGTCGTGAGTTGTGACGTCATACCAAAAGACGTTAAACAAGGCATTAATGTACACAAGGAATTGAAGAATGTGTCTGAGTGGTATTCATGCTTTGCATGGTATCTCTGGCTGGTTGATTCAGTCTGGGCTAGTTACACATTCGCATGGTCATATGAGCCGAAATAATTTGACGTAAAACCCAATTTCACCTCACCTCACCTCACCTGTCAATTAAGAATTTGGGTTGAACCTGTTGTGGTTGATGTTTCAGTTCCTGGAGGAAACGATGGACCAAGTGGTGTCCTGATTTGTTCTGAGAACTATGTGACCTACAAGAACCTGGGAGACCAGCCTGACATCAGGTGCCCCATTCCCAGGAGGAGGGTGAGCTTCATTTCTGTTAATTAAGCTCCCAAGGGATTCTGGGTAGAACTGATGAATCTGGTGGGCGGGCCGACTTGGTTGATTGCCTTGGACCCTGATGTCATGGGATTGTGTTCATAATATCATTCACTGGTTCAGAATTGGTTACAGACTGATATAATAGACCTGGAATATGCTGATTTGACATCAATAAACTAACTTTTAAGTGATCAACATTTTGGATCAGCTGGGTTTTTTCATCCAAATTGCCCTTTGATACATTGATATTACTGAAGAACTGTCCAAATCTGTGACATTCCCAATTCACTCGTTTACTCCAGTGAAGATTTGGTCTTCTGTAGTTTTAATTGGTATTTGGTGTTTCCTTTCAGTATGACCTTGATGACCCCGAGAGAGGCATGATATTTGTATGTAGCGCCACCCACAAGACAAAGTCAATGTTCTTCTTCCTGGCACAGACTGAACAGGGTGACATCTTTAAGATCACCCTGGAGACTGACGAAGATATGGTACGTTTGATAAACATGCAAGGTAGTTCAGTGATAAGCTGTTTGGACTAACAGAGAACCTGATTTGATGGGTTCATGATGGGTCCATTAATGATAGAATATAAAGTGCTAATATTGGAGGATAATGGAAAAATACACTGAAATAATGTTCTAACTGGCATAATGCCTAACCTAGTCACTCTTTGAATTAACTATTGAACTAGCAACATCATTACTTGATGAGCAGAAGGGCGGTGGGGTAGCCTAGTGGTTAAAGCGTTCGCTTGTCACGCCGAAGACCCGGGTTCGAATCCCCACATGGGTACATTGTGTGAAGCTCATTTCTGGTGTCCCCTGCCGTGATATTGCTGGAATGTTGCTAAAAGGGGCGTAAAACCAAACTCACTCACTCACTTGATGAGCAGGGTTGAACAATGCCTGTACTTGATGTCAAGCTGTGTTTGTAAATGTAGCACACGTTACCTCAAATGTTAAGTGATTTTAATCAGCAGCCTACTGATGATGTAAGGTTATTGCAAGTTGTTCTATCAGTTCTGTCATGATAGTGTTTATAAGGTTGTGTTTTACTTCAGGTTACAGAGATCCGACTGAAGTATTTTGACACTGTTCCGGTTGCTGTCAGCATGTGTGTCCTCAAGTCTGGCTTCCTCTTTCTTGCTTCAGAATTTGGCAATCAGTAAGTTGACCATGTCTAGATGTAGAATTTTGGGAATAGTTTACTAAAATAGATGGACTGAACATACTAGAGTGAAATGTTTTAAGACATGTAAGGTTTTGTAGTTAGTGACTCTGTAACAGAAAATGTGACTAAAAGTCGGTTTGCTTGGACCTTGTGCTGTTCTATTAACACTAATGCCAGTAAAGTTAATCTGAAATAGGGGCGGTGGGGTAGCCTACTGGTTAGTGTTCGCACGTCATGCCGAAGATCTGGGTTTGATTCCCCACATGCATGCAATGTGTGAAGCCCATTTTCTGGTGTCCCCTGCCGTGATATTGCTAGAATATTGCTAAAAGCGGCATAAAACTAAGGTCACTCACTAATATGAAACAACCATTAAATATACGGTCATGGTGATCAGACTGTCTTCACAAAAATATATTCTCCATGGTTTGTTTATAAATATACACTAAAAGGAAGAATGTCTGAAATATCGTTTCTGTATGTAAGTAGTTGTCTAGCTAACAGTTTCACCTGACATTTGTATGTAGCACTGATCCTATGGTGTTAACTCAAAGAAACATTAGGTGAACGCCAAATGTGTATTAGATCATGACAAGTGAGAGTAGTATGTCTGAACCAAGGTCGCCTGTATTTCAATTTAACCTAAAGGACAGGTATTGATACTATCCCAGAAGTTAAAAATGAGTTGTTTATTGCAGTCACTTGTACCAGATCGCCCACCTGGGAGATGACGATGGGGAGCCCTACTTCAGCAGTGCTATGCCTCTGGAAGAAGGAGAGACGTTCCTCTTCCCTCCTCGAACCTTGAAGAACCTGGTGTTGGTGGATGAGATCGACAGTCTGTCCCCTATCATGACCTGTCAGGTATGAGGAAGATTCAGGATGTACTAGTTCTGATCATGGTGATCAGTCAAAATTCTTCAATCCCTTTAAGGGGCGGTGGGGTAGTCTAGTGGTTAAACGTTCACTCTTCATGCTGAAGACCCGGGTTCGATTCCCCTCATGGGCACAATGTGTGATGCCCATTACTGGTGTCCCCCGCCGTGATATTGCTGCAATATTGCTAAAAGCGGCGTAAAAACTAAACTCGCTCACTCACTCAATCCCTTTGAAATGAAGTCCAAGTACAAAGTTAAATGTGGTCAAACCATGAACGGAAATATTAACGTTGATGTTCCCCTCAGAAGATCCCTGAATTGGTCTTCAGCAGCCCATACTTGGTATTAGAAACAACTAACGAGATTGAATGGTCTGTGTAATGGCTATAGTTGTTGCTGTTCAACAGATAGCTGATCTTGCTAATGAAGATACTCCACAGCTGTACACACTGTGTGGAAGAGGGCCCAGGTCTACCCTTCGAATCCTTCGTCATGGACTCGAGGTAAGAGGAATGCAAATGCTTAGTCTGAATTCCAAATTAGGCATGGAAGTCAGGGGTTAAAACTCTTATATGATTGCATAAAAACCTTTCACTTGGTGTCATGGCTGAAGCAAGGTCTTGTCTTGTTTTGAAGGGAGACTGTCAAATACCACAAAATATTAAAACATGTTGAAAGTAATGCAACTGCCAAACATGAGTCAACACACACACAACTACTCTCACTTTACACTTGTGATCTAACTTCCTTGAACCCAGTAACAGGAAATTCAAAATAAAGCAGATTCCGATAAGAAGGGTCACGTATGGGACAGGTGATTAATTATAGGGGATAGTGTGATAGGTCTGTGGACTGAATCCTAATTACCTGACCCTCTTTCCATTTTGCATTAATTAATGCTACCACCCCAAATGTAACTCTTTTCCCTCCATTCCCTGTAATAAGTGACTAGTTTCTAAAGTGTGTTTTAACTTTATGGCTTACTTATTTAAATGAATGAAACTGTCCCTTATGTCTCCTCCCTCCTAACCGTCTCCGTGGTGTAGTGGTTAGAGCGTCCGCCCGAGAGCGGAAGGTCGCGGGTTCGATCCCCAACCGCGTCATACCAAAACACGTTAAAATATGGTACTTGTTGGTCCCTGCCTGGCGCTCGGCATTAATGGGTACAACAAGGACTGGTCGGCTCGGAGTCAGTATAATGTGTCTGAGTGGGGTATTCATGCTTCACTGCGCATGGTATCTCAGTGGGCTAGCACTATAAAACCAGCTTCAGTCTGGGCTAGTACAAGCAGCCCGACCTACACATACACACGCATGCACGTCGTCATATGAGCGAAATAGTCTCAAGCACGACGATAACCCCAATTTCACCTCACCTCTTCCCTCCTTGTAAGGATTTCAAATGTAATTAGAGCGATCTTTTGAATATCAGTGAGCAGAGTCATGCATTCACTCAAGCTGTTGTTTCTGCGCTGGACTGGGGTCATTTGCTTGTAATTATAAAGGCATAATAAAATGAACGAAGTAATTTCCACCTGACTGTTTACTGTGAAGGACTTCAGTCAACTATGTTTTGTGCAATGTTACTGTAGGTATCGGAGATGGCCGTATCCGAGCTGCCCGGTAACCCCAATGCTGTATGGACTGTGAAGAAAAGAATTGATGGTAAACTTTAGTCCTTAAGTACTGCATTTTGAGGGTTTGATTGGACAATACTTTATGGAAGTCATACATTTATATGGTTCTCATGCCACCTTTGTTTCAACACAATGTCAAAACCTTTTTAGTTCAATCAGAAGTTAATGTGGCTCTTGCAGTATTGACCAAATCCTCAAAATGTAGAATTTGGAAAATGTTATTTGTTCTGTAGTTGGCAAACAGAATAATGCAAAGGGCAAGTTTACACAATAATTGAAATCTGTATATGTTACAAAACTTGCTCCTTCCTTTAAGAAAAGTGGTTTAGGATTGTTAAAAATATTGTTTTCAAAATTTATGCTGCTCAATCTTTTGACAGGGTTTCGTTTTATTTTAAGTAAATAATCAGTTCGCAAGGTTAGGCTTAAAAGTGTATCTCATAAGCTGTCTTCAGTTCTGAACATTGGTTATAATCAGAGATGCCAACCTTTAAATTGGCAGTATTGTTAGTAATTTTCACCCAATATTTTAATTTCACCCAATATTTTATAGATTTTGTTGGAAACATGGCCAATAAAATTGCTCGTTATTAACTTCTGAATTCTTCATACAAAGTATAGCTTTCCTCAAATTCAATTTGTTTCTTCTTTCACCTTAGAAAGGTGTGATACCATGTAAGACATTTCAAAAGCATAGCTCTTTTGGTGGATAATGTTTTTGCAATGAGTTGTAAATTAAGGGTGATATCCCCAGTATAAAGAAGATAGGAGTGTTTTCTGTTTGGTATGTTTCTATCTGGTTTGATAAAATCTGCTTTTTGCTTGTGATAGGAAGGTATATTTATTTGGAGGAGTTAAATGTGTTTTGAAATGCAATGCGAAAGATTGTTTATGTTAAAGGTGATGAGATGCCAAGTTTTAACCCCAATTATTCAAGATGTTTCAAATTTGCTTAATGTTTAGTTAGCATCTCTCAGGAATATGCAGGTGTCCCAACTATCCCCGACAGTTACTGACAAGAGCAGGCTGGTGGTATGGTTACAATCCAACCCCAGGCCTCTGCTTTTTATTTCAGGGACAGACAACTCTGAGGGAACTTCCTGTCTGAGGTTGGTAATTGCCCACATCACCTGCTGACACCATGGCTACAGTTATTATCAGGCTTTAGAATTTGAAGATTTAATTCTAATCTTAAGCTTTGAGGACAAGATAGTGTGTGATGAAGTGTGAGATAAATTGATTTGGATATTAAATGTTACCATATCATCATTAACAATGACTGGTTAATTCCTAGTTTATTTGGATGAACATGTTGAATATCTAATGAGAAATGTCAGTGACTAACCCCCCAGTGATGGTGACTATAGGCTTAAATGAATGTTCTTGAATCTCACAGTAACTGTGTCTGTGTATGGCATCATTTTTCTGTTTTCAGATGAAAAATGTCTTCATACACAGACATATTGGGTCACAAAACAATGTCACCAGTTTCAGAATTGTACGAAAAATGAGGTGGCATTTCTTTGTGTCGGTTATTTCTTTTCACTGTTTTGATCTTTCAGCTTTGCATGTGTGTTTAAATATATATTACAAATGGTATTCTAGAATATTCAATATTGATGTGAAGAATGGTTTTTTGCCCCACTGTTGTAGATTATTTGTATCGAAGTAGCGTAATGATTATGAAGCAATTGTTTGGTCTTGAATGACCAAGTGGAGGTTTGAGTTTTAGCCAGACCTCGGTTGTGTACTTGCAGATGAGTATGATGCCTACATTATCGTGTCTTTCGTGAACGCCACCCTTGTACTGTCCATCGGAGAGACTGTAGAGGAAGTGACAGATTCTGGCTTCTTGGGAACCACACCAACAATATCTTGTTCTCAGCTCGGAGATGATGCTCTCGTACAGGTATTACTTGCAAGGCATAATTTGTAGCATACAGTTTAGGAATGAGGAATATGTATATCTGTGCATGCATGGTTGCATGCTTTCCTTCAAGAATATGAAGATTTTCAGGAATCACATTTAGCTAAGGGAAGTGTTATTGTGGGGCCACTTTGTGGCTGATTGGAAATCATTATGAATGCTTTGAAGTTGTAGTATAACTGAATCGGTTTATTATGTTTTAGGGGAGGTGGTGTAGCCTAGCAGTTAAAATGTTTGCTCATCACGTCGAATGCCTGGGTTCGAGTCCCCACATGGGTACAATGTCTGAAGCCCATTTCTGGTGCTCCCCCGCCGTGATATTGCTGGAATATTGCTAAAAGCGGCGTAAAACCCAACTCACTCACTAATATGTTTTAAATATGTAAATCTTGGACAGAAGACAAATATATGTATGTCACTTTTTGGGGACAGTACATTGCTTCATACAGAAAATATGGGGGGTTATTGCTATTTGTGCCAAGGTCCAGTGTGAAATATGTTGTCATTTGTTTCCAGATCTACCCCGATGGTATCCGTCATATTCGTGCAGACAAGCGTGTCAACGAGTGGAAAACTCCAGGGAAGAAAAACATTGTGAAGTGTGCAGTGAACCAGAGACAGGTTGTCATAGCTCTGACAGGGGGCGAACTGGTGTACTTCGAGATGGACCCGGTATGTTGGCTGTTTCCATGGTAGTCCAGATGTCTTGCAGTTATTGTCACGTTCTTGTTCTGTGGTCAGTGTTGCTGTTGATGTGAGAGGAATGTTTTCAGCTGCATTGGCATCCATGAAGATAGAGGTTGGATTTACAACCAATGCTTGTTGTAAGAGGCGACTAAAGGAGTTGGTAGTAAGACTTGTCATCCTATCCCTATTATGTGACCGGAGAGCGGAAGGTCGCGGGTTCGATCCCCGACCGCATCATACCAAAAGACGTTAAAATATGGTACTTGTTGGTCCCTGCCTGGCGCTCGGCATTAATGGGTACAAGGACTGGTCGGCTCGGAGTCAGTATAATGTGTCTGAGTGGGGTATTCATGCTTCACTGCCGCATGGTATCTCAGTGGGCTAGCACTATAAAACCAGCTTCAGTCTGGGCTAGTACAAGCAGCCGCACACACACATACACACGCATGCGCCGTCATATGAGCGAAATATTCTCAAGCACGACGATAAACCCAATTTCACCTCACCTCACCTATTATGTGAATTAGAGGTCAGACTGCCATCGAACATCTGGAATATTGTTAAGTGTGGTGTTACTCATGCACACACATGCACACTTTAATCTTAAATCCTGGGATTCTGGGTTACAATTCGTCTAAGCAGCCTGATGTATCCTGACATCATGTGTCACAGTTCACAATATCCATCACGATATTGTAAAGATCCTTTGTATGTTTAAGAGCGGTGGATAGCCTGATGGTTAAAGCGTTCGCTCATCACAGCAAAGGCCTGGGTTCCAATTTCCCACATGGATACAATGTGTGAAGCCCATTTCTGGTGTCCCCAATCGGGATATTGCTGGAATATTGCTAAAAGCGGCATAAAACCATACTCACTCGCGTATGTTATGTTTACTCAAGACTTTTTATGGCCACAGAAATGATGTTTTCCGTGTTTCACCTGAACTGATGATTACAGTATTGAGTTTCCTGATCTGTGGATGTAGGGCTGTTGCTAGTGAACACTGGTTCAAGTGTACATGATGACAGTTGTGTTATTTGTGTCCAACAGACAGGTCAGTTGAATGAATACACAGAGCGGAAGGAGATGTCATCGGATGTGGTGTGCATGGCTCTTGGTCGGGTGCCTGAGGGAGAACAGAGATGCCGCTTCCTTGCTGTTGGTTTGGCAGACAACACTGTCAGGATCATCTCCCTTGACCCATCGGTATGTTGTGATCTATTGAATTCTTTCAAAGGAAGATAAATTGTCAATATTCATGTCCACACTTTCTGGGGCGGTGGGGTAGCCTAATGGTTAAAGCGTTGGCTCGTCACGCCGAAGATCCGGGTTCGAATCCCCACATGGGTACAATGTGTGAACCCCATTTCTGGTGTCCCCTGCTGTGATGTTGCTGGAATATTGCTAAAAGCGTAAAACCAAACTAAACCAAACTCAGTCAGTCAGTCAGTCCACACTTTCTGATTAAAGACATGATTACAGCAGCTTGACTCTCTATATACTTCTACCCTGTGAGCACTAGTTTGAAGTCTTACTGCTTCCTGTGGCCTGATACTGCAATGGCCAGGAGCGCAGAATGTTGGTGGTTCAATCACCACCCACGTCATGTGAAAAGGGTACTTCTTGTGGTCCTGCCAAGTGCTTGGCTTTGGGATGAGGCAGTGTTTAATTGGCTCAGAGTCAGAATGTTACAAGTGCAGTTGATATGCCAAAAACTCTGGATGGAAGGGTATCTTAGTGTGCTGGCTTTATGACACCGGCATTATTCTGGACTAAAACAAGCAACACACAAGTGTCATGCACATTACTGAAAAAGTGCATAAGTGCAATAATCTTGGAAAATTACATTAAACACTATTTTATATTCCCCTCCTCTCTCTCTTCCCCCAAAATTTGAGGCCACCAAGTGTTTATCGTCCGCTAACAAGTGTCTGTTGTCCGCTATCATTACACATTAAGCCAAATATTCAATAAGATGTGGTGTATTCCAGGACTGCCTGTCCCCACTGAGTATGCAGGCACTGCCCGCCCCTCCAGAGTCACTCTGCATCATCGAGATGGGCGGCACTGAAGCCAAGGAAGAAACTGGGGAGGCTGGCACTGTGGGAGGCCTCTACCTTAACATCGGACTACAGGTACAGTGTTCTCAAATACAGTTTACCAGACAGCTACTATTGTCAGATACCTGGTTATTCTGTTGTTTTACTTAATATGAGTCCGGGTTAGAATATTAATCTTCAGTAACCCATGCTTGTCGTAAGAGGCGATTAACGGGATAGGGTGGTCAGGCTCACTGACTTGGTTGACACGTCATCGGTTTCCAATTACGCAGATTGATGCTCATGCTGTTGATCACTGGATTGTCTGGTCCAGACTCAATTATTTACAGGTGTAAAACTAAACTCACTCACTCACTCTTATGAGTCGTGTATTCTATTAACTATAACAAGTTGTGACATTTTTCTGTTTAATAGAATTTATGAAACTCAGAAATTGACTAATGCTCTGTTTCCCTTTGCCACACTGAATTTTTAACACTGTGTATAACAAAACTTAAGGTGGGCTTGATCTTATGGTTGTTGGCAGGGACAGAAAATTTTGGAAATATTTTGGAACCATATTGATTTCTTTTAAATGTTTTTTTCAGAACGGTGTCCTGCTACGAACAGTGCTCGACACAGTAACTGGAGATCTGTCAGACACCAGGACCAGATATCTCGGGTCTCGACCTGTCAAACTCTTCCGAATCGCCATGCAAGGAGCTGAGGCTGTAAGTGGAAGAGCTGTCAATGTTTTATAAATTTCTGAAGGATCAGTTCATAGTTAGCAACTTTCTGTCTCAGTAATAATGCCTGCTGCAGTGCTTTAGGCGTAATTTAACCCTGGATGTGGGTCCCTAGGTTGTATATACAACTGACACAAAGACCATTGTTTCCACAGGTTAATATTTACATGATCCATACGTACAAGAAGCATTCTTTACCTGTAGAAGTTTGTGTTTCTCAGGTTGAGTTGATTACACCGATGTGCATATTTGTAAATGATTGCGTTGCAGGTTTTGGCAATGTCAAGTAGAACATGGCTGAGCTACACATATCAGAGCAGATTCCATCTGACACCATTGTCGTACGAGACCCTGGAATATGCCTCTGGATTTGCCTCTGAACAGTGCCCTGAGGGTATTGTGGCAATTTCAACAAACACTTTGAGGTAAGTATTTATATTAGTTACTTGTGATACCCATAAACTCAACATTATTAAGACATCTAAAGAACAAATGTCAGTCATTAATGGAGTAAAAGTGATGTGCTTACCCGGGAACACATAAGCATTCCTCTGTTTTAAATAAGGGACAGTGACACTTGCCTACTCATGGGCCTCCCTGTCTTTTCAAGTATCTTGAATGGTCTGTTTACTTCACCCAAACATATTATGCATTAGTGCCTATGTTGGAATTGGATAGTTTAAATATTGTGGAGATGATGTTTTCCGTGTTTCACCTGAGTCAATGATTACAACCTGTGATGCTGATCCACAAATTGATTGATAATGTCTTTATTGTTTTATCAAAATAAGTAATGCTAAGTAGTGGCAATGTTTGATCTTGCTGATCAAACCCTGATAGCATAGAGGGGTGGTTGGGTAGCCTAGTGGTTAAAGCGTTCGGTTGTCTCGCTGAAGACCCCGGGTCAGATTCCCCATATTGGTACAATGTAAGAAACCCATTTCTGGTGTCTCCCACCCTTATGTTGGTTTAATATTGTTAAAAGTGGTGTAAAACTAAACTAAACTAAACTAAAACTCACTCACTCACATCAAACCCAGTCATTACCTTGCTTATCAAACCCTCTTGACCTGTGCTGATCTAATCACGCAGATGCCACTATTCGCTGTACAGAGATGCTTTCCATGGGCACGCCAGAAACTGATGATTTCGGTTAGAATGACAGTTTTACATGATTGTGGTGCTTGGTTTCTATAACTGAAATACAGTACATCTGTTAAGAACACTCATATAACGAATAGATGATACAACGAACTGGTTTCCTGGTCTCTCATAAATAACTACAGGTTTTAGCGAACTAAAATGAGTGGTTCTTCTGATTTTCCCATAACCATAGTTTACTGTACATTTACCCAACTTGCTGTAATATGATGATGCTGTGTTCAGGATTCTGGCGCGCTGGAGAAGCTGGGTGCTGTGTTCAACCAGGTGTCCTGGCCGCTACAGTACACACCACGGAAGTTCGTCATCCACCCCGAGTCCAACAATATCATCCTCATCGAGACGGACCACAATGCGTACACAGAGGACACCAAGAAACACAGGAAGCAACAGATGGCGGAGGTGAGAGACTCATAGGTCAAGAGAAAAATAATCAAACTTGAATGTATATTATATACAGCAAAAGGATGATTTTCTTTGGTTTTATTATGCTTCTTTTCCTTTTCTGTTTTCTCTTATATACTGTACTATTAAAAAAGAGGTTAAGAACCACCCAGTTCTATCATATGCTTATGGAAACGAACACAAAGACATACAACTGTTCCCTTATTTCCAGATTTTTACCGGGGTGGTGGGGTAGTCTAGTGGTTAAAGCGTTGGCTCGTCACGCCGAAGACCCAGGTTCGAATCCCCACATGGGTACGAGTGAAGCCCATTTCTGGTGTCCCCCGCCGTGATATTGCTGGAATATTGCTAAAAGCGGCGTAAAACCAAACTCAGTCAGTCAGTCCACATTTTTACCCAAAGTGCTATAAAAAGCATGTGAAGAAACCTGCATAGAATATAGGAGCAGCTATACTTTCTGTGTTTCATAGGGGCGGTGGGGTAGCCTAGAGGTTAAAGTGTTCGCTCATCACGCTGAAGACGTGGGTTCGATTCCCCACATAGGTACAACGTGTGAATCCCATTTCTGGTGTCCCCCGCCGTGATATTGCTCCCACATTCAGCTGGCACACCCTGGCACACCCTGGCACACCCTGGCACAGCTGGAATACTATTCACAATGTTAAACCCAACTCATGAGTGAGAATCAAAGAAATCTTGTGAAGATAGTGTTAGTCCTCCATCCTACTTGTCACTAGGACAATGAGTTTGCTACATTCAGTGACAGATGTCTCCTTCTTGCAGTAAAATGTGTGTTATCCCCGCAGGAAATGATAGAAGCGGCTCGGGAAGAGGAACAGGAAATAGCCGCAGAAATGGCAGCAGCTTTCCTCAATGAGGACAAGCCTGAGACTGTGTTTGGTGCCCCCAAGTCAGGGATGGGGATGTGGGCATCAGTCATCCGTGTGATGAACCCCATCAAGGGGGAGACATTCGACAAGATCTCACTGGAGCAGAACGAGGCAGCGCATAGGTAAGTCTTAGGATGATAGTAGAAGCTGTCATGGTGAAGGATTAGGCTCAACCTGAACATGTCAGGAATTTGAAATTAATGAAGTAGTGAATGAAAGTCAAGTTGGTCTTGTTACTGCTTTGATGTTTTAAGTTGCTGACTTCAGTCCTCCCAAATTCAGATCTATGATGGAAACCTTGAGAACCTCAGTGATGCATGGTATGTCGGATATAGATTATGCAACGTTTTAGAGGGCCAGAGATGTTTCATACCATTACATGGACACATGACTAAACTTTCGATGGTTTGGCAGATGATGTCCGAGGTTTATAGTGAGTTTCCAGAGGACCTGATTTGGCACTTGCATGTTATCCACCATGAGTTTGTATCATTGAATTAAGCTGATATCCCTTACCAGTCGTGAATGGAAGTGATGTAAGCTTGCTTCACCTGATCTATCTATTACATTTGCTTTACTGATCCACATTATCACATCCACACGCAAATGTATCAGGTTTTGCTTATTTCACTACAAGCTCAAACGGTATACTTTGAGGGTGACCTAATTATCTAAGGCACTGCAATTCACCGTACAGACTTACTCTATTGGTCCACTGGACAGATATGTGACAACCTAGTCTGATGTCATGACATTTATCTTGTCAGTATTGCCCTGGTGAAGTTTGCCAACAAAGGAGACGACCAGTTTGTGTTAGTGGGTGTGTCCAGAGACCTTGTGTTGAACCCGCGCTCCCTCAGTGGAGGGTTTGTGTACACCTACCTGCTGGTGAACCAGGGCACCAAGCTGGAACTGCTTCACAAGACTGCCATGGATGAAGTACCTACAGCCATCGCAAGTTTCCAGGGGCGGGTATTGATAGGCCTTGGGAAGAATCTCCGAGTCTATGACCTTGGAAAAAAGAAACTTCTCCGTAAATGTGAAAACAAGGTGAGAGATGGATCCAGATGATAGGACTTGAAGCTCAAGAGGTCTAATCAGAATTCAATCTTTTGTAACTTTGATATTTGACAATAACATTGCTCTTAGTACCATTTGACCTGTTAATAGTGAGATAGGATAGGTATATGAATATACAATTTATAGTTACAATTTCCACTTCTTACAAGTACCATGCTTCCATTACATCCTAGTCATAAATCCTGCACTTTGGCTGTCATAACATCTTTCCCATTTCTGGTGTCCCCCGCCGTGATATTGCTGGAATATTGCTAAAAGCGGCGTAAAACTAAACTCAGTCAGTCAGTCAGTCAGTCATAACATCTTTAGATTTTCATTGGGTATCTACTTTAATGTCATCTATCAATAATAGTTGTGCAGGTAGTAGCTTGTCACTCTGACCTCTCCTTTGCATGTGCAGAGCTAGAAACCCTGGGCACAGATTCTCAAAGCTATTGTAGCACTACGACTGTCTTTAATCCTATACTGTAACATAGACTTACGACAGTCGTAGCGCTACAAATCGTTTTGTGAAACAGGGCCCTGCTTCTTTCCCATGTACAATGACAGCAACATCACACACATTCCATCTGTCCTCAGCATATCCCCAACACCGTAGTGAGCATCCACACTATGGGGAATCGAGTGATGGTTGCTGACGTACAGGAGAGCTTCCATTTCCTGCGCTACAAGAGCCAGGAGAACCAACTCATTGTCTTTGCTGATGACACCAACCCAAGATGGATAACGTGTTCATACCAACTGGATTACGACACTGTCACTGGTGCTGATAAATTTGGCAATATCACCATTGTAAGTATTGATCTTTGCATTCCATGTTGATAATGTACATGCCAGGAAGGGTAGGTTGTGGAGATGATGTTTTCCGTGTTTCACCTGAGTCAATGATTACAACCTGTGATGCTGATCCACATGTATAAATACACTGTTTATTTCCGAAAGGTAATTGTGTTCAAAGTGTATGTGATCTTACTACATGTAAGACTTTTCAGCCATGTTGGGAACCCTTGTCAGAAGAGATCTAAATCATAATTCCTGTTAATTAGCCCAGCTTGAATATGAAGTGGTTGTAATGTGAGTCTATGCTCATCAAATAACTTCATTTGAAAAAAATAAGCTCAGATTGTCTGGTCCAGACTTGATTATTTACAGACAGCCGCCATATAGCTGGAATATTGCTGAGTGTGGCGTAAAATTAAACTCACAACAAATAAACCAATCCAAAGTAAGCATTTTATAAACAAAACTTCCAAAGCCTGATGATTCTTTTGAAAAAAATACTTTAAGGCACTCAGCATGAACATATGGTCACAGTTGATGCGTAATTGTGGTGACATGCCGAGTAAGATTATTCAGGGCTCGATTTAGTGCTTTGTTACTTGCAATGGTGCAACCCAATATTACAAAATACAACCTAGCTATGAGTCTATCTTGCACAAGGTGTAAGTGAATTTTTGAGAAATAAATCAACAATAAATCTAACATATGCATAAATATGCCAGCCCATTTTTCTTCTAAACTTTGAATAGCTATGGCAATGAAACATTTCTATTCATAAACACGTCTCGGCTATGACAGCTCTTGTAAACAGGGATCAGCTGTGTCTGAGTGTTGCTATGGTTTCATGGGTACTACATCACTGATTAAGGGTTTATGTGCACCGAAACATTTTAACACACTATGTTGCAACTGGAATTTGGCTGATGCAACTAGGTCTTTATCTTAGGTTGCACCTGGTGCAAGTAGGTTAACATCTCTTAAATCGAGCCCTGGTATTGGCCCAAGCAAACTATGCTTGTTGTCTGGTAGTTGTTCCAGATCCCCAACCTATGCCTATAAACAAAGGATTGTGGAGATGATGTTTTCCGTGTTTCACCTGAGTCAATGATTACAACCTGTGATGCTGATCCACACTTCCATAGATACTCTACTACAGTTTACTTACTATGGGTTACGTGTTGGTGCTTGTGCTCATTTGAAAAACACCATGTAAGAGTATGTCCAGTGACCAAAAATTCAATTCCCCAACATGTCTCCCTGTGAAGGTTCTGCTGAAGAATGATTCCCAGCAGCCTATCATGTCTCTTCTCCTTTCTCCCCAATTCTTTGTGCTGTGGAGAATTATCCCTTGGTACTTGAAACTTATCATGGGTTTAAATCGGTGATATACCATAACTGGAATCCTGATCAAACCGTTATGAAATCCATGAAGATCTGGGTTAGAATTGGTCTTCAGCAACCCATGCTTGTTGTACGAGGGGATCTGGTGGTCAGGCTCCCTGACTTTATAGACACATGTCATTGCATCTCAATTACACGGCCGAATTGCGCAGACCGATGCTCATGCTGTTGGTCACTGGATTGTCTGAATCAGACTCGATTATTTACAGACCGCCACCATATAGCTGGAATATTGCTGAGTGCGACGTTACACAACAAACAGATAAAAAAGTTTTGAACCTAACTGATTGACTATTGCAGGTTCGGCTTCCGACAGATGTGTCTGACGAGGTGGATGAGGACCCTACAGGCAACAAAGCTCTCTGGGACAGAGGACTGCTGAATGGTGCCTCACAGAAGGTGATGTATTGCCATACAGTGGACAGAACTTGTAATTGAAGGTTCCACTGTGGAGATGATGTTTTCCGTGTTTCACCTGAATCAATGATTACAACCTGTGATGCTGATCCACAGTTCGTTTATTATCACTTCCTGGTATATCATGTTCCATTCTCAGATTGTATTTGGGAACATGTTAACTATCAGGCGACAGTTCACGTTGACCATTATCAACAATTTTGTGTTCTTGTTTGTTCTGTGTGAAACCCATTTCTGGTGTCCCCTGGCGTGATATTGCTAAAACAGCGTAAAACTAAACTCACTCACTCTTGTTTGTTACAGGCTGACGTAGTTGCTAACTTCCATGTTGGCGAGGTTGTGACGTCCCTCCAGAAGGCCACATTGATCCCTGGGGGTTCAGAGTCTCTGGTCTACACTACCCTGTCAGGTGCTATTGGCATGCTGGTACCCTTCACGTCACATGAGGTAGCTAGACTTATATGCTTCAAGATAAAAACGAAAATATTTAGAGTGGTCAGGCACTGCCCAGATAAAGGGAGCAAACTTTCTGCTTTAAACTGAAAATACATGTCCCCAAAGTGGAAAAATCCTTTCTAAGGTTCTGGTCTTTTAACTAGGAGATCTTGAGCCTCTTGTCATCTGGAATTGTTTTGTTATTCCTAACAGAAAAATCGGAAATAGTGTGAATAATGACATGAGTATGTCTCCCTCTCCATTCTGTGAGAAAGGAATATCCCAGAAGTTGAGTCTTACGTTTTAATTCAATTTGTAGAGTTGTGTCCCTTAGCTCTGCCAGGGTTCTGTCCCTTAGCTCTGCCAGGGTTCTGTCCCTTAGCTCTGCCAGGGTTCTGGGTGTTAAAATATGAGATTTGTCTTGGTTATGATTACTTTTCTCCTGGAATTTGAACCTGACTCTTACACTTGACATACTCTTTATGTCCTTCCTTGAAAACTGAATGGCGAATTAAAATATTTCAGGATCATGACTTCTTCCAACATCTGGAGATGTACATGCGTTCGGAGTATCCCCCTTTGTGCGGCCGAGATCACCTGGCTTACAGGTCCTACTACTACCCAGTCAAGGTAAGACATCATTGATATCCTCAGGGTATGGGCAGGTGCAGACATTTGGGACACACCACAATCAGTTTCTTGGTAATGTGGTTGTGATGAGATGAAATGTTTTGAAATGTACCCACTCTAAACATAATTCACCATCAGTAGTGTAAATCACTATTTACTCAACAGGCTTTGGGAATTTGCATATATCAGCAAATAACAATTGACAGTTCATGTTTGTAATATTCCATATTTACCTGAAGTGTGATATTGATATATAGTTTCACTGATAATGGTGTCTTGGCCCTTTCAAGGTGATGCAGTAAAATATTTTTGTTCAGGTTCATAACAAATTAGGGTGGTGGGGTAGTCTAGTGGTTAAAGTGTTGGCTCGTCACGCCGAAGACCCGGGTTCGAATCCCCACATGGGTACAACGTGTGAAGCCCATTTCTGGTGTCCCTCGCCGTGATATTGCTGGAATATTACTAAAAGCGGCTTAAAGCCAAACTCAGTCAGTCAGCCAGCCATAACAAATTACAGACAAAGGAAGTCACTCAATTCACTGTGGTGCTTATTGCAGTACACCAAACATCATGCCAACGTTGGTGTGTTGTAGATCGATCATTGCTGACAGTGGTGTATAAGAATGTTTTGTTTCAGAATGTGATTGATGGCGATCTGTGTGAGATGTTCAACTCCATGGATGCCAGCAAACAGAAGAGTGTGGCAGAGGAACTGGAGAGAACACCCAGTGAGGTGAGTGTCGTCATGTCTCCTGATTGCTGGTTTAAAGGATTTGTTTATTCTTGCTTGTATCATTTGACAAATTAGCAGTTGGTTCTTCAAACCATAAATTTTTTCCTTATCCTGACTCATGCTTAATTGCTTACCTCATGAGTCAGGATAAGTATAAAATATCAATTTTAATCAAAAGAATTCATCTTTGTTAAACCACTAGGACAAGAGTCATCTCTGTTTCAGATGATAGCGATGACTCTACTGGGATTGTCTTGGACTACTTACTTTGCTTTAGGTAGAGAGAGATTTCAGTCAGGTTGTTTCATGTCACTGATGATTAATATTGTCATATTTTCAGGTGTCAAAGAAACTTGAAGACATCCGAACTCGATATGCTTTCTAGGAGAGATACTGTGCGAAGAGTATCAGTATGTACTGGCAGAAGACCATGGGACGGTGCTAGTCTTCAGGCAGCTATGGTGGACAATGAAACAGTTTATTCATTGGAATCACAACACTGGAAGACTAACGGGATGGGCTGATGACAATGACTGTTGCATGTGAATATTCCTGGAATGAGTAACCATGAGAACAATCAACGCTTTGACATGAACACAGGATTCTGCCACTGTGTCGAAATGTGAATGATTTCTGACATCAAGAACCACTGGTTTATCTGATTCCATTACACTGGATGGACACATTTATATTGCTGTATTTTGGCAACTACAGCCAAAACTCGGTTATTTCACTTTTTAAGCCTTCAAATCTGACTGGAAGTCTTATCCAAAAGAATTTGTTGTATATAGTTGTTTCTTTTGTACCTGAAATTACCAATGCCTTTGCTATGAGGCCATAATCATGATCTCGCCTGCATCATTTAATAAGATATGTTTTCTTGGTCCTTGCACTAAAGCCATCTAAGAGCACAGGAGTTGAGTGGTCCTCACTCTGAGACAGTTCCTAGGAAAGGGCCCTGATCTTTGTGGTTGAAGTTGTGTTCGAGAATACTGAAAACCACGCAGTTGTATTGACTTGAAATGTTTCTAACATCTGACAAGTTCATGTGTAAATAATCATGCAGCTATCATATGTGTAAATTTAACATTGTTACATTGGAAACGTTGCATATGTAAATTGATAAATATTTGTAAGTAAAACAACTGAAAGATTCATTGTGTTACTGCAACTCTTTATTCTATTGATGATTGGTACATATGTTACTCCTGTAAGGTGTAAACTCACAGCACCCATGAACATCAATGAAGGGAACAGCACTTCAGATGCAACAACTTACTTTATGAGCACCAACATTTCCACACGCTACCTATGCACACCGACCCCTGAAGATCCTGGTTAGAATATTGATCTTCAGCAACCCATGCTTGTCATAAGAGGCAACTAATGGGAGCGGGTGGTCAGACTTGCTGACTTGGTTGACAGATGTCATAGGTTCCCATTTGCGCAGATCGATGCTCATGCTGTTGATCACTGGATTGTCTGTTCCAGACTCGATTATTTACAGACCTGCCGTCATATAGCTAGAATATTGCAGAGTGCTGTGTGAAACAACTCACTCACTACCTATGCACACCAATACTGCAGTGCCACACATTTCCCAAGCAGCAACATTCTCCTTTCATAAACACCAAAGAGGCACCTGATAAAACCTTTGAAAAAGCCCGTTTGACCATGACTGAACATGATTGATCCTATTCAGGGGTTTTTTTTTCATTCATTTGAACATCTGGGGCTGTGGGGTAGCCTTGTGGTTAAAGCGTTCGCTTGTCATGCCGAAGACCGGGTCGATTCCCATCATGGGTGCAATGTGTAAAGCCCATTTCTGGTTCCCCGTGATATTGCTGGAATATTGCTGAAAGCGGAGTAAAACTTAACTCAGTCAGTCAGTCAGTCCTTATCAGCCTGATTGTAAGTTCAATGAAACAAATTCTAAACACAACAGGTATCCGCAACGTAAACGCTCCTCCATAGTTGTTTTAAATTCAGAGCAACGGTTCTGTGATTTGTTTTTGCCTGAAAGTCATTTTGGAGATATCATTACTGACAATGTATACTTATTGGAAAGTCGTAAAAATATCTGCTTTCTCCGACATCGAATTTCCCTTGTCCGAGCCAGGGTTCACTGATCGTGATACCCGTGAAGATCCGGGTTATAATTAGTCTTCAGTAAACCATGCATAATCGGGTGGTCAGGCTCGAATACCTGTTGACACACGTCATCGTATCCCTTTGAGTAGATCGATGCTCATGCTGTTGGTCACCAGTTTGTGGTCAAGACTCGATTATGGACAGACCACCTTCATGTAGCTAGGATGTTACTGTGCGGCGTTTAAAAACACTGGTCGTGGGTCCTATTATGATCCAGACCGCCTCCGTGGTGTAGTGGTAAGAGTGTCCGCCCGGAGAGCGGAAGGTCGCGGGTTCGATCCCCGACCGCGTCATATCAAAAGAAGTTAAAATATGGTACTTGTTGGTCCCTGCCTGGCGCTCGGCGGCATTAATGGGTACAAGGACTGGTCGGCTCGGAGTCTGAGTGGTGTATTCATGCTTCACTGCCGCATGGTATCTCAGTGGGCTAGCACTATAAAACCAGCTTCAGTCTGGGCTAGTACAAGCAGCCGCACATACACATACACACGCATGCACGTCATATGAGCGAAATATTCTCAAGCACGATGTTAAACCCAATCACCTCACCTCACCTATTATGATCCGGGCTGAATCTGACATGGTCTGACCCAAGTTTCATTGAAGTGGTACACCTCCCCAAATTATTATCCCCCGCAACGCGTTTTGCGGGGGGTATTAAAATGGACTCCGTGCGTGCGAGCGTGCGTGCGTGCGTGCGTGCACATTTGTCTTTTCCGGAGCAGAACTCTAAAACCGTTCAATATTTCTTATACAAACTTGACACATAGATAGATCTGATGGTGTACTGGTGCCTTTTGGTAGTTTTGGAATTCTGAATAAAACATTTTTGGCGTTTCCATGGCAACAAGTTTGACTTAGCCTGAAATTGGTGGTAGTACACTTTTCCGGAGCTGAACTCTAAAACCGTTCACTATTTCTTCACCAAACTTTGCACATAGATTGGTCTGGTGGTGTACTGGTGCCTTTTGGTAGTTTTGGATTTCTGAATAAAATATTTTTGGTGTTTCCATGGCAACAAGTTCGACTTAAACTGAAATTAGTGGTAGTGCTCTTTTCCGGAGCAGAACTCTAAAACCGTTCACTATTTCTTCACCAAACTTGGCACATAGATAGATCTGGTGGTGTACTGGTGCCTTTTGGTAGTTTTAGAATTCTGAATAAAATATTTTTTGGCTCCTTCCACTTTTCTATATACACACCTAAATATTTGACATAATCAGAACTCGTAGACATAATCATGAAAAGTATTTTGCCATTGCGGGGGATATTGATGACTTTATCTTCTTGTTTATTATACTTAGTCTATTTACCCACATATAACTGTTCAACCAAAGTCTATCTTACATTTTTCAATCTGTGTCTGGAACAGTCGAGGGTCTAGTAGGTCGAGGGGACGGTGGTGTTGCCTAGTGGGTAAAGAGTTCGCTCGTCACGCCAAAGGCCCGGGTTCGATTCCCCACATGGGTAAAATGTGTGAAGCCCATTTCTGGTGTCCCCCGCGGTGATATTGCTGGAATATTGCTAAAAGCGGCGTAAAATCAAACTCACTCCCTAACTCATGATGTCAATCACTGGATGCACTGGTGCAGACTCTGATTTACAGACCGCCCTCGTATAGCTGTGTAGGGGCGGTCAACAAAGTGACTGACTGACTATGGTTTTACGCCTTCGGCGTGACGATCGAACGCTTTAACCATTAGGCTACCCCACCGTCTCCCACAAACAAAGAAGTGTGGCAGTTTCTCGTTCCTTCCGACGTCGTGGACTGGTTCTCAGCAAGGTACAGGTGCCGAAAGGGGCGATGTTGTGTCCTCTAAAACTCATTAAACAAGAACTACAGTCTGTAGTAATCGTTTCCACATGACTTTATCAGAGTTTATATACTCCATTGCTGTATATTCTAGACTGGCATAGGCTGTAAGACAACTTGGGTGTGTAAGACAGCTTGTTTCTGAGTTGGTGAGACAATCCAGGAGCCATACTATTTTCCCTTCCACCAACCACTTACTATAAATGATGTAACTTTTAATGAAACAAGTCTAGATATTCCACGTGTTCATTTCATTGGGCTTCTTTACGGTTTAAGTGTACATCCTTGTCTAAATTGTTTTACATATTTTCAGACTCAGCGTCAGTCAAAGACATGTCTTTTTACTAATATGTTCCATAAGGAGTTGGATCTGTGGAACGAGTGGGCGAGTCCACAGTGAGCGAAACGCTAGATTGCAAATGTATTTGCTGGAATATTGACGAACGCTGTGTAAAACTGAATCAATCGGCCTCATTATTTAGAAGCCTGCGTGATGCCCAGCATTTTGTGGTGTAAAACAGCAAGAGATTAAACGCGATTAAGGTCAATAGATTATTTGTAGAAGACAATACTCAGCTTGTTTACTTGTACGAGTTTTGTTATAAGCCACTACACGGTATCGCTTGTGATGAACATCTTCTGTCGTGGTGTGTTACAGAGGCAATCAGCTCTCATTCAGCATCACACACCGGGGCAAACAGGCGTTGAACGCAGCCGATATTGTTCCTCATGCCTTTGAGTAAAACTTACTGCAAATTAACGATGGAAAAACACTGGATTGATTGTGTTTGCCGGAGAAGAACGATGTTGAGAAGGGTTGAAAAAGGCCATTGTTCGACAAACCGTCATCATTAGCTCGGTCCTTGTGACATTAATGAGGTTTAAGTGTAAGATTTCCCGCTCCGCCCTGTCTTTAGTGTCCCTGGAAGGTGTTTTTGCTAACACGTCAGCGATCCGTCTTCACTTGGACAGAACGTGTTTGCCTTGTGGAACTGCGGCTTACACGTGTTTGTGAACTAGTCTAGCGCCTGAGCATCTTTACGTAACGTGCGTGGGTACACACAGTACGTCACACACTGGAAAGGCGGGCGGTTTATTGGCGTCTTAAATGTCGCGAATATTATTTAAATAGGTGTAACTTTTGACAGAATTTGTTTTTGGACTGAAAATACATTCCCATTTTCAGAACCTTCCTATGTAACTAGAGTTTAACCTAGATTTTAGTATTCTCGTTGGCCGGACCACATCGGTTCCAATTTTGGAACCCGTGAAGGTCCGGGTTAGAATATTGATCTTCAGTAACCCATGCTTGTCGTAAGAGGCGACGGGATCGGGTGGTCAGGCTCGCTGACTTGGTTGACACATGTCATCGGTTCCCAATTGCGCAGATCGATGCTCATGTTGTTGATCACTGGATTGTCTGGTCCAGACTCGATTATTTACAGACCGCCGCCATATAGCTGGAATATTGCTGAGTGCGGCGTAAAACTAAACTCACTCACTCACTCCAATTCTGGAATGGTGTGGTATAATCGCATCGGGCAACCAGACGGTCAAGTGATAGATATCATGAGCATCGATCTAAGCAACTGGGATACGATGACGTGTCAGCGAGCTAACCAGCCGATGCCATCTCACGACAAGCATGGGTTACTGAAGACCAATTCTAGCCCGGATGTTCACGGGTCATGGATGACTCATAATGAAATCGATGTGAATATATGTCGAGAACTATTCACGGAATGGTGAGACACAGTTGGTGTATCTCGGGTCGGTTACTATCCACGGATGTTGAAACGAATGTGAGCTATCTCAAGTCGGTTACTCTCACGATGGTGAGCAAACTCAGGTCGGTTACGATCAACGGTTGGTGAAAAGATGGTGAGCTATCTCAGGTCGGTTACAATTCCACGGGTTGGTGAAACGATGGTGAGCTATCTTAGGTCGGTTGCTATCCACGGGTTGGTGAAACGATGGTGAGCTACAAGTACAACCAGAAATTATTGAGAATTTAAGATTGTAATTTTTTAATATTTTTCACTCATTACTCACGTATTAAATGTGAATATTAGCAGAACATAACTCCAGATTCAAAGACAGGTGAACAGTTAGTATTTTGTCAAGTCACCATGGGCAGCAATGCAGGCTTCAATGCGGCGGGGCATACTACTGATCAAAGAAGTTAGAAAGT